TAGCCAATTTCGAGCAGTGCTTTGCTTTACCCCGTTGGTGAGCGCCACGGACCTCTATATAGCCAATTTCGAGCAGTGCTTTGCTTTACCCCGTTGGTGAGCGCCATGGACCTCTATATAGCCAATTTCGAGCAGTGCTTTGCTTTACCCCGTTGGTGAGCGCCACGGATTTCCAGTCGTCGTCGTTTCTGAACGCTGCGACAACTCGTTGCTTTGTGGAGAGAGGTATGAGTTTGTAAGGGCCTCTGGCTACATAGGGGGTTATCTAGTACTTAAATTGGCCTCATAACCGGAGTTCGTCAGCAGCTACGTCCATGCTGTGCGTTCCTTGGTGATTTGAATAATGAGCATTCAATACGTTGAGGAATCGCGCGCATTATGAAATTAAACTATACTTTATTCAAGTATAAATTTCGATTTCTTGCCTTCGTGCGTTTTCATCCTAACTTCAACCACATGATGTTTCCACCAAAACTGATTTGCACTCCATGAAATATACTACTGATCTCCCCCCCAGATCGAAACGCCGGCACTGCTCGAAATTGGCTATATAGAGGTCGATGCTTACGGTTTGAATCGATACGTGCTACGCCTCGAATACTTTTACGGATGAGCGGAGGCCATGGACGACATGGACATTGGCATGTGATGCAAGTTTCATTTCGAGTGAATTTTTATTGAGTTCAATTTTTAATTAGAATTATTTCACACAGGGCACACGACCCAATTCTTTGGGCAGATGGCCAATTACTTGGGCACACGGCTTATTATATCGGGCACATCGCCAAATATATTGGGCACACGACCTCGGTGTGCCAAATTACATGGGCACATGGCTAATTATATCGGGCGCACGGCCAAACACATCGGGCATTCGTCCAACTTAACTGCAAAATGGTGTAAGTACGACGCTGTGCTTTATTATAGAGTACCTGGTACATTTGAGGATATTTGGCCTATCACGACAACCCCTGGGCCAAATTACGAATTTCGATTGGTTGTCGAAAGTGGGCGTTGGCCCTGATCCTCTTAACATTTTAAGAGCATCTCCATTCCGCGACCGGGTTTTTTCAGGGGTTATTTCGGGGAAAAACTACTTCTGGATAAGTTACCCGTTGTTTTCGGACTTCATCCACCGCAAAACTGGTTATTTTGTGGGCAAATTTGAATGCTTCCCGGTCCTAGTTCGACGTGAATGGCCCTACGACGGCTTTGTCATCACTTGGTACGTACCCGCTGCGCTTTGGAAGTGATCAGTTGTGCGCCGTCGGGTCTGTGGATGCTGGCGGCATCACCTCTGTATACTTTGCAATCAAGATAAGTACTGTACAGTCAGTATACGGAGATGATGCCGCCAGCATCCACCTTCGTGGCACAACTGTGGGCAATATCGCTGGCACAGTTGTAACATTAGGCTGCTAATCGTGTATATTGTCCAGTAATAGAGAGGTTTTGCAACTTGCGTATTTCCCATTCCCATAGCATTATCCGGTTGTCTGGGAAATGGAGTGGGAGACCAAATATAGTCGTTTCGCAACTCGACTCCCACAAGCAAAACTATTAATAGAATACAAGTTCAATGGGCGTGTTATTGAAGTTCTCGCCAACATGACTACAGAGGAGTCTCAGCTTGCGCTTCGAGTGTACAAATGGGCAAAGCGCAAAAAGATGCACCCGACTACGATGATGACGCTACTCGAGTACGGTCTTGGCATCCCGGTGGAACGGCCCCTCATTCCAGATGTA